GGGAAGGCCCACAACAAAGAAAAAAAAAAAAAAAAAAAAGGGATTAAAGGTGGCAGCCGTGTGCAACAGGACTAACCGAGAATAAGTCAGGCTACCTGGCAGATGAGAGAGGGTTCACTTTCAATCTCCCTGTGGGACTCAGAGACCACAGACCACCGGAACCGTACTGTCACACAGAGAGGATGGGCTGGGACACAGCTGCACATGCCCTCATCCTAAGGCAGCAGATGACCCCCGGAGCATGACAGCCAACAGTGCTGGGCCTTCCAAGAGCAGGGTTTCCCTGACCTACTATTCGGGGTGGGCGGCCAGTGCTTGGACATAGATCAACCACAGAGTTGGGTTGAATCTAAGGAGGGAAGAAGCCCGGCCCTGTCCAGGGGGCAGTTACCCTTGAAAGCACAGTTTTCTGTGTGATGTGAATGGCCTCAGATTTTTATCTGCATATCAAATAGCAGGACCCTCGGCTGCCAGAGCAGGGAAACAGAAAAACTGGTTACATACCTAGTCTTGGGGCCCGTGAATAGAATAAGATGTTTTTACTTTTGAAAAAATAATTTACTTTGGAGAAATTTAGGATAAATTCAAATTGTATTTGAATGCCAAATAACGAGGCAAATAGCGACAAGAGACTGGGCATGAGCCATGCCCTGGGAAAGCCAGCTTCAGAGTGTAAGGAAGGTTGAGGTCAAGGAGGACTGCTTACCCTGATTCAGTGCAATTCCTGCCTGATTCTGTTTTATAGTTACTGCAGGGGAAAATGAATCAAATTCACTGTTTTATTACCTTGGATGGATCAGTGAGACCTTTTGCCAGTATCCAGCCAATGCAATCAATCCCTTCCGGTATTTCTCAAAATGTGATCATGGTTTGAGGATGTCAGGAAAGTCAACCAGCTGTTCCTTGGTCTTCTCATCTTTTCTTGATCTGCTATTCTCTCCAGGGGTTGCATTAATAAAAATTTCAAAAATGTGCTGAAACAAAGTGCTCAAGGAGTGTGTCTTCTGAAAGCTGTTGAGGAGAAGCTCTTGACTCACGAGAGCTAGTCTACTTACCACGCTCTGGACTGCTTCTCTGAGTTGTTGGTGAGTCACATCCTGAATCAAGGAAGTGCTGAAAAGCAAAGCTTTACTCAAATCACCTCTGTTGTCACTTTTCAACCCACTGGAGGCCTTTCCAACTGCTGTTACAGTTTTCAAAAGGTCATTTGGGTGTGGAGCCAATGTCAGCAACAGACTAAGAACATCCTTGTTGTCCTTCCCTAACTTATGCCAAAGCGCTTCTGAGGTGAGGTTGATCACCTTTCTCAAGTAAGTCCCTAGTTCCATGCTGTTTCGTGATGGTATTCCATACAAAAACAGGATCACTTCACGAGTTCTTTCCCCTTTCGTATCTTGAGGCAAATTATGAGTGGAAATTGGATTAGAAATAAAAAGTCTTTGTGATTGATGATGTTATTTATAGGAACTAAGCAATCCAGGATTTCTTCCCATAAGTTGACAGAATCCACAGAAAATATTTGGGTCCCATTATTAAATGCTGCCACGAGACGTTCCATGTCTCCCAAATTGATTTTCACAGAAGTTTAACATTCAGCTATTTCTTCCCTAATATCATAAATATCTTTGGACTGGATCACATATGTAAATATGCTAGATGACACATTGAAAATATCAGAGTCTTGGGAAACAGCAGGTTTGACTCCAGTCATCCCAAAGGCCAAGTCAAGAAATGGCATCAACAAGTCATCTATATTTTCAAATATTAAACGATCTGCTTTTTTCAGAGTAATAATTTCATTGGCAACATCTCAAACACTTTGTTGCAAAATGGAATAAAGGGTGTCCAAGAATTTCATGGTGTCATTGGCTGTGAAGACGAAAGGCATTTCAAACATGGAAGCCACCTCTCTTGAAGTTTTCTTGGCCAGCTTAAGAAGGTCCACGGTGGAGGTGACGGAGGTGGCGAGACCTCTCATTTCGGCTCCATCGTCCACCAGCATGGTCAGAGCTCTAGACATTTCTGAGAGGGGGTCCAGGGCATGACTCTCCACCCACTCTTGCCCTTGAGATAACACCAAGTAAGCGCTTGGTAATTTCTAACGTTGCTCTGTTTCTTAGGGGGGATGGACTATTTGTAAAGGAAAGCAAATCGGTTAGATTAGTGAGTATAACTTCTTGGAGGGCAGGGTACAGGGCACGTAAGTCCTTAATAGGAGATTTTAAAAGAGTGTCCATGAGACATGCTATCTCTATTGACATTTCTCTCATGAGGTGAAGAGCAGACCTGAGATCTTGATTGAGTTTGAAAAGGTCCTCAGAACTGTTCATATGGGAAAGCAACTGATTCACCACTGTAATAAACTCCAGATTATTTTCAGTCTCATTTTTCATTGAGGTTTCCCTTAGAAGAGTGTGGAATAAATCTCCCATTAAGTGCAGTCCTCGAGGATTATCAAAATAAAATTCTCCACCGTCTAACATAAATGAGCTTTTAATTAGGTGGTACACAGCTTCCTTTAAAGATGCAAAAATGTTCACCAATCTGTCCTCTTTCATGGAGATAAGAAAATGATCCAGTTTCAAATTTTCTAGAATTTTACCCTTTGGGACAAAACTGTAAATATATATTTTTTAAATTTCACGGTTAGTAATGAAAAATTGAAAACATACACAGTTGACCCTTGAACAACCCGAAGGTTATGGGAACTGACTTTCCTTTGCAGCCAGCCTGTGTCTGTGGTTCCACATCCACGGATTCACCCAACTGTGTATCGAGTTGTACTGTAGTACCTATATATTGAAAAAGCCACTTATAACTGGGCCCATGCGGTTGTTCAAGGGTGAACTGTAGTGATTTTTTTTGCTCTACGGTAGCGTTATGGGAGAATAATACTGACTGAAATACTGAAATGCTAAAATACATCCCAGATGAAAATTAATGTTTTGTTGCCAAATAATGAAAAGATTGGATGGATTTCATGTATAAATCTATTGCAATGCCTCAAACCTAACAACTTAAAAAGCCATGCACTTTGCTTTTAAAAAGGAAAGGAACATGAAATGACCGTACAATGATTCTCAGTGTAAGAGGTAACGTCCTTCTGAATGTTCCAAGACCTAGCGAGCCACTCAGCGTGGCAGGGGCTCTGTGACTTGTCAACTCGATTGGGCCGAGCCCCAGATTCAAGCCCCAGAGCCCCTTTCTTGTGTATTTCTGGTCTGGTGGGCTTCACAGGTGATTCGCTCATGAGAGTGCATGACAGCCACTTTGTAGCATCATAAACACTAACCTAGGTGCTGCTGGAGGGGATTCATCAGATGTGACTGAAGACCCCAGACAGCCAGCTTTAAGTCAGGGAGAAGGGATGTTGCCCCCAGGGAAGCCTGGCCTCACCAGTCGCAAGGTCTTCGAGAGGGTTAGGACCTCCCAGACCCAGCGAGCCCACCCTCATGCACAGCTGGATACCTCCTTCCCCTTCGCCCAGACCCCACCCCCCAATGGCCCCCTGTAGATGGGAACCTGCAGCTCCTGCCTGTGGGATTCCAGCTTGTTTCCTAACAGCCTGCCCTGCTGACTTTGGACTCCCTCAGCCAGCCAGAAAACTGCGGAAGCCAATTCAATCCCTGTATGAAGTCTTTGCTCTGGTTCTGCTTCTGAGGTTGAGACCTCACTGATACAGACATCACAGAATAAGGTAGAATCTCCCTCCAGCCTTTTCACTGGCAAGCTTCAAAAGGGATGAAAAAATAATATATGAAAAAACATAATGTGACTCTTGAGTTTTAAAATTTTGGAGTTTTAGCAATTCCAAATATAAACATCAGTAGATTTATTGGAATGAAAATACTTAAGCCCTTCATTTGTGATTAGACAGTTAATGCATTAATTCAAAATATGACCATCACATATATCCATATACATATATAATAACAATTTTTCAGTTTCATATAATAGAATTTTATAATTATTTTCATACTCCAAAACTGTAATAAAGCATAATAAGTGATTAATTGCCAGGGGCTAGGCTTATATACATATATTTACTAGTTAGATGACAATCGTCAAAGTTATTTTACCTTGATTTTTAAAAAGCGTTCATTAAGAAAAAATTCACTTCAAAGATCATTCAAAGGTGTTGGTACAAGTGCTGTACAAGTGCTTATAAACTCCAGGAAATAAACTGGATTGTAACGTGTAACTACAAGCACTATACGAAGCAAAAGTAAACTCACCTCATCTCTGCAATGACATCTTTGTGGAAGTCCTTCAGCAGAAGAGATATTTTGTTCCCAGAATTTTCCTTTAGTAAAAAGGGGAAGAATGTTTTTAAAAGCTGTTCCAAGAAATCCACTATGCTTCTTGGAGGGAGAATGATTATCTCACCATTTTCTGACTGTGTATGGTTCAAGGCGAGGTTAATGAAATTCATTATTTGAAGGTTGGTATCACTTAAATTCAAGGCTGCTTCTTGAGCACTCTCAGCTAAGTTATTGATTGAATTAATTAGGAAGCTTTCAAAAAGCAGCTGAACAACTGAGAAATTAATTAGCTGTTCTTGGTTTAGCAGACGAAGAAGTAGGGCAACATCAAAATTATCTTCTCTAGAAACATTTTAGAGATTACCCAGAATGGAAGCAATATCTTTAGTCAACAAAGCTATATCATCAGTTGAACTCTTGTTAGCTGTAAGAAGAAATAATGTTTGTATCATTTTGGAGTAATCTTCATTTGCATATTTATGAAACCAGTTTTTTATGACCAATAAAAACTTTTCAACGATTTCTAATGTCTTCAAGGATGATGAATCCAGGCTTTCGAAAAAATGGGCAAGTGGCAAAGTTAGGTTTTGAAGGGCCACTGAATTAGTAATTTGTATTTCTTTGTTAATTTCAGAAAACAGGGATCTGATACTAAAGTTATGGGTTAGATCTTTCATGATTTGTTCAAACTCAAGCCATAGTTATTCAAAGTTGTAAGTTGTTTCACTTTTTTTAATAAAACGTGATAGTGCTTCTAAACTACCACCATTTCATTCAGAAATGTCATGAATGGAGAGACTACAGAATTAGCACTATTTTCTAGGCTTTCATCCCTAGAAAACAAGTTTATTATCCTTTCCAAATGTAAGGAAATATTTCTAACAGATGATTCTGTTCCTTCATCAACGTTAAGGATCTTGTTTAAACTAGCTAGTTTATCAAGGAGGTTTTCATCTGATGTGGCTTTTGTAAAGTTGCCTTTTTTAAAAATTTTTCTATGATTTGCAAAGCAATCTGCTTTATGGAACAGCTGGGACAAAGTTCAGAGATGCTGCTATTGTTTATTTTCCAGAAAATGGGACAAATGGTAACACCTTATGACAAAATTCTTGCACAGTTTTCACAAGCAAAGTTTTAACATGGAAGACTTTGGACAACTCTAGAAGAATGGAATTCCAATCCATTAATTCATGAATTACACAGGCTACTTTCCTAGTTATTTCCACCTGTGAGCTTTCATTCCAACATTGTGAGTCTTCACCTGGGGAAGACAGGTGGAGGTGGTCAAGGATACTGGCCACTTTGCTGTAAAAGGAAGGAGACGTGAGCTTGTGGGCATCACAGGCTCCTGACCTTAGATTCTGCTGAAATCCAGAAGTTGTGTGATTCCAGCACCAAAACACAGGAAGACAAGTTAAAGCCTCTGAAAGGATGCCTGGTTGATCTGATATTAATTCAATTGTGTCCAAAAGAGTTTTAATCACAATAGCAAAGTCTTCCTTGGTGACATCTGAAAGGCTTATGCCATGCAGGAGCGTGAAGTTACAGACGTCCTTGAGGGCCTCCATGATGTTTTTGTCACCCACACCCCGCAGGAGCCTCATGGCACGAGGGAGCACATAGTACACGTCGACGGAGGCATCGGCGTCCTCTTTAGGAAGCAGGCGTGAGAACCTCAGCAGGTGGTTAACATTCCAAGAACATGAGCTGTCGACAAGTTTTTCCCTCAAGTCAGCAAAGAAGCTGACCCCCAAACTGCGAGTACCTAACCTACTGACATTCTTAAAGAAATCTCACACCAGTCAGAATGGCCATCATCAAAAAGTCTACAAACAATACATGCTGGAAAGGGTGTGGAGAAAAGGGAACCTCTTGCACTGTTGGTGGGAATGTAAATTGATACAGCCACTATGGAGAACAGTATGGAGGTTCCTTAAAAATCTAAAGATAGAACCACCATAAGACCCAGCAATCCCACTACTGGGCATATACCCTGAGAAAACCATAGTTCAAAAAGAGTCATGTACCAAAATGTTCATTGCAGCTCTACTTACAATAGCCAGGACATGGAAGCAACCTAAGTGTCCATCAACAGATAAATGGATAAAGAGGCTGTGGCACATATATACAATGGAATATTACTCAGCCATAAAAAGGAACGAAACTGAGTTATTTTTAGTGAGGTGGATGGACCTAGAGACTGTCATACTGAGTGAAGTAAGTCAGAAAGAGAAAAACAAATACTGTATGCTAACACATATATATGGAATCTAAAAAAAAAATAAATGGTCATGAAGAACCTAGGGGCAAGATGGGAATAAAGATGCAGACCTACTAGAGAATGGACTGGAGGATACGGGGAAGGGGAAGGGGAAGCTGGGACAAAGTGAGAGAGTGTCATGGACATATATACACTACCAAATGTAAAATAGATAGCTAGTGGGAAGCAGCTGCATAGCACAGGGAGATCAGCTCGGTACTTTGTGACCACCTAGAGGGGTGGGATAGGGAGGGTGGGAGGAAGGGAGATGCAAGAGGGAAGAGATATGGGTACATATGTAAATGTATAACTGATTGACTTTTTTATAAAGCAGAAACTAACACACCATTGTAAAGCAATTATACTACAATAAAGATGTTTTGTTAAAAAAAAAAAGAAAAGATGCATCAGGCTTTCACTTATCTGTTTCAGCTGGTCTACTAGCAGGTGTATGTCTGTTTTCTCGACCGTGCACAGGAGAAAAGTTACCTTCTTTAAAACTTGAATATTACCTGACTCTTGTGGAATATCGTGATAAACTGAGGGCATCAGGGAATTGAACGCCTCCCTCATGAATTCAATACTGAGACCCACAGCTTTCATTAATCCATGAGAACTTATCTGGGGTGAATTTTGGAGATCATGAGATAAACTGAAGGCAAGGTAACTAGCTAACTGATAAAATGAACAGCCTAAGCTGTGTATACTATTTTTCTTTGGACTGGTAGCAAATATGTTTAAATTTTTTTCAGTTTTATAAGAGGTGTTCTTTTCCAGGATGTTAGGGGAAATATCTTTCACAAGTTTTTGAATTTCCTTCCCCAGAGCTACTAAATGCAGCCAAATACTTTGAAACTGACGAGGCATTTCATCTGACATTTCTATGGGTTTTAGAATTAATTCAGTAAAATGTTTCCAGTTGATTGAGGAGCAAAATCAAAGTCCCTTGTTAAGTTGTTGATAAGCATCCTTACTTGGTTTGTGGAATTATTTAAAAGAGTTAATAAAATCTAAGATTTTGGTACCTTTTCTTTTTCAAAGACTGCATTAAGTATAACGTTTAGAAAGTCAGTCACATTTTTTAAGTAAACGTTCACACAATTTATTTTTGACATATTCAATGAACAATAAGGTCCCATCATTATATTCAACATCCAAGTAACAAGCTTCAAAGTAGAGCTCATTTTGTTTTCCACATCTGGAAATATTCCCTGGCAGCTTTTGGGAATTTTCATATCACTTTCCAGTGCAGCCAAAATCTGAGTGAGACCAACACAAAGAGGAGTGAAAATATTCGTGTCCAGCTGAAATATTTGAGCCAGGCGTCCACAGATTTTGGCCCACATTTGCAGCCATGAAATGGTACAGTGAACGGCTGTAAACTCACGGAACTCACTGCCGTTTGCTGAGAGGTTTGAAAGGATTTGTGCCCACGGGAGAATAGATGAAGACCCCTCATCTATTGAATAATTCACGGAAGAAACGCTTTTATTATCCAGAACAAAGCATTCACTACCCAGCAGGGCTTCTGCTGAGCCATTGACGAGTTGGCTCACATACTGAAATAATTACGAAAACCGTCATCCTTGAGACCTGTCAAAGTAGCATGGATCACTTCCTCTGTGGGGCCCTCTGTAGACAACAGGGATTGGACTTGAAGCTCCAAAAAGTTAAAAATTGAAAGCAACTGTTGACAGTAAGATACTTCAGAAATTCCCCTAAGAAACCCTGTTGTCTCATATAAAAATGCAAATGCTGGGGCTTCCCTGGTGGCGCAGTGGTTGAGAGTCTGCCTGCCAATGCAGGGGACACAGGTTCGAGCCCTGGTCTGGGAGGATCCCACATGCCGCGGAGCAACTGGGCCCGTGAGCCACAACTACTGAGCCTGCGCATCTGGAGCCTGTGCTCCGCAACGAGAGGCCACAACAGTGAGAGGCCCGCGCACCGCGATGAAGAGTGGCCCCCACTTGCCGCAACTGGAGAAAGCCCTCGCACAGAAACGAAGACCCAAACACAGCCCAAAATTAATAACTAATTTTTTAAAAAAAGAACTCAAGCACCCACATACATATATTCAACACCTGAAATCCGTTCCAATATCAGGCAAGATTGAGATTAGCTGCTTAATAACAAGTTCCCTATCTCCTTCTCCCGTTTCCTTCTTAAAAAAAAAAGAAAAGAAAGAAAGAAAAAGAAAAAAATGCAAATGCTTCACTGATGTTTTCGAAATTAAATTGCTTTATGACATCCAAAATGTGTTTTGAGATTTGTGTAAGGAAAGACAGCAAAGACCCTCTCCTCTGAATGCTCAAGAATTTATAAATATATTGGTAAAGTGAAGAGTAAATCTGGAGAAGTAAAGCTGAATCTTTGTCCTGGAAGACATTTAGATAGACATGAGTCAAAATTTTATCAATGTCTTGTTTTTGAGGTTCAGAAAAGGCTGAGAAAAGGTCGGATGCATTCCTCATAGCATCGACTGTGCCCACAGCTTCTGAGACTTGTTCCTGCCTCAGAAATCCTAATTCATAGAGACTATTTATTATCACTTCACTTAAATGAACAAAATCCATTTTCCTGGCTGGCGACTGAGGCCAATCTGAATGGAACAACTGGGAAAAGTTAAAGCTTTTACTATGAATCCTCTCATTTTATGGATCAGAAAATCTTACAAGTGTAGACAAGATTCCTAGTTTAGCTCTTTCTCCTTTTGAAGCGCCATGAATCCACAATGCCAGGATCTTGGGATTCATTCCAAAAAGTATTAATTCCATAAATCTCAAGATATTTCTTGACTCCTTCCTTATCCAGAGACTTTCAAGAGCTTGTACCTTTTCAATCATTTCTTTGCCAAATTCCAGAAGTTTCTGAGTATCGATACCAGGTGTGTCTCTCTCTAAACTCGCTAAATGATTTATCCACAAATGACATATTTAGAATCGTCTCAGGGAGAGATGAGAGGTTATGGAATTTGGGAATACTGGATCAGCCGAAAGGATTGGGCAATAATAATTTCTCCAAAAATCACGTAAGAGATAAAAAGAAGTTCATTTGCTCATCCTCAAGGGTCTGCAACTTCTTTTCCATCATTAGAAGTGCCTTTGTGAAATTTAAGACCCTACAATATTAACAGAACTGATGCAGTATCAGAAAAATTAAATAAATTCAAGACAAATTCAACTTATCAAATTTTTAGATAATGCTCAGATTTGTTTATAGTAAAACATAAATGAAATATTTACTAGGCAATATATTTTCCCAACAGGGATTCATGTGAACATTTGAAAATGTTTTAGAAATCTACAATGCAGTTGCATATTTAGCTTAAAATCTGCTTCTTGCACCAAAAACAATGCATTTTAGGTTACTTTACTCAGTGAGTTTATATGCATGATCATTAAAGATAAGTTTGCTGTTTATGCCAGAGGCATCTTAGGATTCAATTCCTTATTACATCTCAGAATGTCTTGGTGACAGAGCTTGTCCAAATTGCAGGACGGTTTGAAACTGCCCCTGTATGATCTAAGGACAAGTGTTAGGACTTCTCATTCTAGAAAGCAACTGCAGTGCTCTTTAAACAATGCTGTACTTGCCACTATCAGAAACTCATCATTTTAGATGGCGTACCTCCCCTCCGGGGGTTTATTTTTTAAATACAAAGCGTTCTCAAAGGAGCAGCTCGGCAATTAAGACAAACCCACACTTATAATAGGAGCCCTCATTTGAAGAACTGACTGACTCAGGAGCTACAAGTCCACTTCTGAAATCCTTGGGGCCCTGTGTGTTTCAGACTTTAGAAAGGGAGCCTGTACACTTATCACACATACATTCATGGCCCCTCCACCAGGGGCACCGGGGCAGCCCTGTATCAACTCACTAACACTTCTGCAGGGACACCTCCGAACAGGTTCAGTGTGAGGGGCAACAGAGCCCTTAACACTTACGTCTGCAGAATGAGTTGCGATGCCGATCTTGAGAAAAGCTTTGATTTTCAGACTTTTTCAGATTTCAGAATTGTGGATACAGGATTTTGACCTGTATTGTCTCTTAATGCCCTAAAAGGTGAATTACTTTCTAAACTTCCTTAACTCTGTAATTCTGTTGTGTAACACAGTCTGGCATAGAATATACAGAGGATGGGTCAAGTGCAAGGAATTGTTTTCCTCTCTCACAGCTGAGATCCGAAAGCAGGAAAAATACAGGCTTAATTTATTTTATTGTCATTTGTAGAAGAGACAGCAGCTAATCTGAACCATGGAACATCGAAAACATTTCCTGGGAAAAAATTCGATCAGGAAAGAGAAAGCTACACTCTGAAGCCTTCAATATGAACCTTACTCAAATCCAGCCCTGCGTAGAAATACATGCACAACTACAATGTGAGTAATCGTGTATTGGTAGGGCAGAATGCAAATGATCCTGTTTTTCCTTAGGATCTGAGAGGTCATGGGGTAGTGATAGTAGGATGAGTAAGGGCCGAAGCAGAGCTAGTACTGCTGGTAGTGATATCGCCACACACGTTTATATCACTTTACAATTTTTAAAGCACGTTCACCACTATACTCTTAGTTCATGCCTATAACAGCCCTTTGAGGTACACATCATCATTTCTATTCCATGTGAAAAGAAACATTTCGGGATTTTTTATAAGTAGCAAATTCAAACTGCTATCGTATGGCAGGAACTGGAATATAGGCCGGGTTTTCTCATTTCAAGCTCAGCTTTCTTAATATTAACTCTGTACTTATTGTCCATTCTTATTCATTCATTCATTAAGTCAACATCTAGTTACCTGGCCCCTATCATGAAAGATACTGTGCCAGCTGCTATGAGTCTACAAATATAAAATTAAACATGTCCTTGGAGCATATACAGACTAGTTTCATTGCCATCTTTCTGTGCTATTAAATAGCTGAGACTTTCAGGAAAGTGAGGTATTATAAATCCAACAGGATCAAGGGACTGATTCTCCAGAGGGTCCATCACCTTCTCTTCCTCCTGTACCCATTAATAGCTGAGCTTAAAGTCTCCCCAGGAGTGACGAATCCTGGGTCTAGACAGATGTTTTGGGGTGCTGCTTAAACTTTGGCTTGCACCAAAACCACCTGTAGAATTTTTCGTATATACAGAAACCTGGGTACTGCACACAAGCAAGATTTAGCATGTCTGGGGTGAAGTTCAAGCTTTGTATTTTTAGCAAATTTCACAGATAAATTTGATCCATTCCCAAGTTTGAGAACTACTGCTCTAAGGCAAAGCTTCTGTCCCATCACATCCCAACACACCCCACAGACAATAAAGTGTGCTCTTAAACTATACACAATATCCATAATTATACATAAAATGTCCATTTCAACACATGTGCTGAAATAGCCAAGCAGTATATAATCTGGCAGATTTAGCTCCAAAGATCAATTCTCTCTCAAAAGCCTCCAGAACTACCAGGCTCTTAAATCATCGATCCCTAGTCTAAACTCTAAGCAACTAGATAAGACTATTTTTCAAAGAAGGATTTTATTTTGGGAGTATTTTATAATAAATTATGCTCTCAAAGGGAAATCTTATTACCATAATCTGTTTCCTTTCAAAATCCATGGAAACATGAGTCATACATTCTATGACACAAATATTTATTGAGAACCAAACACATATGAAGTGCTTTATTGATAGCTAAATCAGGATCTCACATTTTAAAGTAAGTGCTTCCAATAATTAGGTTTTGTTTATCTTCAGATAATAGTTAAGTCAAGACCTAGAAGTTGAATTCTGAAAACTCACCTGGATATGGAAGCTATTGGAGTCTTGATCAAGTTATTCAAAAATGTGAAATAATTATCACCAATGATTTCCCAATCCATGTTTTCTTCATAACAAGGAGATTCCTCAGAGAAAACTAAATAGGAAGACATTTCATATATTGATTTCGAGTTGGGTATAAAAGTCAAGTCTAGTAAAGTGAGAAATGCTACAGTGTTTCAGTTAACATGGTTGAAAATATAACAAGAGAGGATTAGAAGTCCTTCTGATTTGACTTCCGCTTCTGGCCAAGATGAAGTGCCACTGGCCGTCAAGGAGTGTAAGACAGAGACCCATGAACAAACGGCAGAAAATAAACAAGGTGAGGCCTTCCCCCCCCACCCCGCCCCGTGACTCAGAAGGCAGAGCTGGAGTCTTGTAGGCGTCCTGAGTTAAGGGGAGGGCGTTTAGAGTCTGAAAGACAGCAGGGGTTCACGGG